ATTTCCTGTTTTCTTTTTGATAAATAGTGTAAGTTTGGTAAATAGTGTAATGCGGCAAAAAAAATGAAAATCTTTTCAGCTGCACTTTGTCAACTAAGGGACTACCCCAGTCGACCTTCTTGTCAATAGACAGGGTGACTGACCACTAGACCACACACAACAAAAGGTTGTAGAAGACAAATTGCAATCCTTACTGGTGATTTATAACACTTCTGTCCACAAAAGGCCACAGGAGAACAGAATTGTACAAGGTGGGGGAAGACATATGCTTCCTGTCCTGTGGACACTTAATAAGGGGGCGATCGCTGGACGTCATCCGGACAAGAAAGGAAAAACCGGTTGGGCTGGCACCTTAAGGAAACAGGTCGTACATCACTTTGTCGGAATATCACAAGGTCATGGAAGTGCGACCTTGAAAATCTGCGTGGACAATGATGCCAGTGTTCGTATGGGGAAGAAGGAATGCCTAGCTTACCTGGGGGGTCCATGGATAGTGTTAGGAATGACTTGAAACTTTTTTCTCCTTAAAAAGAGCAGGCTTTAACAGTGTTCGAAATACCTGTCTGCAGTCTGCAATCTGCAGATAGATTTTCAAGATTGCAGAAGAAAAATTCATACAATCTGCAATTTTGCAGAAGGAAAAATAGACTCCAGATTCAATAGTATTCAATTTAGCAAACTAGAACTCTCTGGCCCCAAGGACAGACAACACTTGAGCTCCTGTTCTGAAACAACAGGAGCTTCTTCACTAATTTGCATCCTTGTCTTGACTTGTCTATCTTCTGTTTCCTTTATGACTTCCAAAAATTTGTCTTCACTAATTTGCATATCAATCAATAGTTTTTGTTTATAAACCTGCAGTTCTCCTTCAGTCTCTTAGTGTCACTGATGAGAAAGGTAATACTAGTAGTCTGACCGTTTTAGATAGCACCAAAATTATATACAACTAGTTGAGTAACTGTTTTTTTGTGTCTTTTATTAGTATGTTTTAGTATGTTTTTGCAGAAAGTATTTCCAAATTGCAGAACAAAATTTTGACTCTTCTGCAATATTGCAGAGCGCTGAAAAAAAGTATTTCGACCACTGTTTAAACATCACGTACTGTAGTTAACTTTATCATTCAAGGTAGTGAAATTTTACTGTCTGAGGAAAATGTACATCTTCAGGTTGGTGGAAGAGGGAGAGAGGGGAGAAAGACAATTAATTTGATAATGGTAAATTAAATGATAAGTTCATGGTACAGAAGTGACCATGAAAATATCAGGAATTACAGTAAGACATATTTAGTTTGTAATGAGAGGTCAACACAAAAATGACCACCATAAAACAACCATCAGTATTTCGCAATTTGTGGTGCCTTCCAAGCCTTCTCTATCTGTATCTCTATCTGTATTGCCGGTATAACCGCCCTTCAGCGTAACACACCAGCTTCTGTATCTGTATAGCCGGTATAACCGCCCTTCGGCGTAACACACCATCTTCTGTATCTGTATAGCCCGTATAACCACCCTTTGGCGTAACACACCAGCCTTAGCTCATGATGATAAAAGCATTGGAATATGTAAGTGATCCCATATTATCCCAGATTTGTAGATCTAGGTCACCTGATTTCAAGATAAAGGTCAAACTAGGAAACTGGGATCAAGGTCACATGATGAAGGAATGTCATTCCTTAGATTAAGGTCGTAAGGTCACATGATGTCACAGATTAAAGTTTTACCATCAAATCTTGCAGCTTTATTGGCTGATGCTATCTCTTAAGGTATGTGTGTCAGTGATGGTTAGATAGACACATGTCACAGAATGATTGGCACTTTTGACAGCCGAAGATTAAAATGCTTTGATGGAGGAGAATAACTTCAGGACAGATGGTCAGGGCGGCCTGCATGCCCTTTTCGGTAGAGCATAATCGGCCGTTTTAATTCTACGTAGAGCGTAGATAGACTGCTCTTATTCAACATAGAGTGTAATTGGCACGTTTTGCGTATAGTGTAATTCGCGTTTTAATTTTACGTAATGCGTTGTAACCACTTGGAATTTATCGTAAAGCGTAATCGCTACTGTAGCGTGATACGTAGCCGGCTCAAAATTTAGCATGGAGTGTTATCGGGACCCCTCCATGCAGGCCCCTGGTCAGTAGTCTAGTGGATGACTCCGTGAGGTTACATTTTTGTCCTGACCCCTTGCACCCCCGTCACATATTTGGACTGTCCCGCTTCTGGGTTTGGGTATCATTATATCATCATCATCATCTATCTATCCCTGGAGTTAGGATAGGAACAATTATTCCCACAGTCAGTGTCTATCCTAAAAAGTAGAAAAGATTTGAAGCCCTTAAATTTTATTGTTAATGGCATAGTTTTGTCTTCATATATCCATGTGTATCCCAAATTTGTCACCATAAACTACTGTAACAGTATCTATGCATTAGCCAGATTTCAACATACAGACCTTGTCATATTCCTTATTATAAAGTCCCAAACATTTCTATGAAAACTTTTATTATATTAACAGTCCTTTAGTGATTTTAAGTCTCGTCTTGTTTGACTTCTATAGAATGCTTTGCATCAATTCATCCTAGTGTTTAGATGGAACCTGTCCTGGGTCTTCCTAGGCTCTAGTGTCATTCACCAAGTTTATTGCTTTGTCCTGTGCAGCTGAAATTACATCCCTCCTATATAATACCCAAGCTCAGTAGAGCTTCAGAGACATGTGCAAGTTCGCTCAGCGTTTGATCGCAATATCGTGACAGGAGAATACGCCGCACGTGATGTTTATATGTTTCTGGGTCGAATGTGATTTACTTCTTATACCAATACCAGAGGGACAGAGCTGGCCATCGCCCAAGACAAACTATTTTCTGAGCCGGGATTGGAACCCGGGACCTTTCGGATATGGCATGTGTCCCATAACTGTCACTCTGCTTGGTTTGGATGTGAGAAATATCACGTAATAGTTTTGTAATTCAGCAGCTGAAAAATTGCCAACTTGTCCTTGCTTCAACTGCGAACTATAGTTGAGCTAATGCCATTCAAAAATGATCCCATTGATTATAGGGTGGACACACAAAAAAGAAAAAGAAAAGTCTCCATAATATTTGGCAAGCTTTATTCTCTCAGACATTTTACAATCTGTAGATTTACAATGTGTTTGCTTCATGTTTTGACAGTGCTGTAACAGTAAACCTATGTCATAACCCTACCGAATGCCTCAGTGTTGCAATATATAGATGCAATAAACATTTTATAGATGAAATAGTATAAAACCTCAACTGCATTCGCTCTCATACAGCTGCTTTGCTGTTGCCTTGACGACTAATTCTGACTGACAGCTAAGAGCCGTCTACTTCTGACAGACTGTCTCATTTTTGGCTAGTTTACAGAACTCGCACATGGTCATAAGTACAGGCTACAGCTCAGTGACAGGCTGAATAAAAGTTCTAAACGGGAACTATGCGGCTCCAGATGTCCTACTGAGGGACAACTTCGGTGTGAAAGATGTCGGTTACTAGTAGCTTGAGGAATGAATTCACTCTACTATATATTTGACACCTTGAATTATAATTATATAGCAATATGTGACAGGCTGAATAAAAGTTCTAAACAGGAACTATGCGGCTCCAGATGTCCTACTGAGGGACAACTTCGGTGTGAAAGATGTCGGTTAGCTTGAGGAATGAATCCACTCTACTGTATAAAGTCCACATTTTTGGCTAGTTTACAGAACTCACACGTGGTCATAAGTACAGGCTACAACGCACAGTGACAGGCTGAATAAAAGTTCTAAACGGGAACTATGCGGCTCCAGATGTCCTACTGAGGGACAACTTCGGTGTGAAAGATGTCGGTTAGCTTGAGGAATGAATCCACTCTACTGTATAAAGCCCACATTTTTGGCTAGTTTACAGAACTCACACATAGTCATAAGTATAGGCTACAACTCACAATGACAGGCTGAATAAAAGTTCTAAACAGGAGCTATTCTGGACGACTGTGGTGTGGTAGATGTCGGTTAGCTTGAGGAATGAATCCACTCTACTGTATAAAGCCCACATTTTTGGCTAGTTTACAGAACTCACACATGGTCATAAGTACAGGCTACAACGCACAGTGACAGGCTGAATAAAAGTTCTACACCAGAGCTATGCCGGATGACTGTGGAGTGGTTAGATGTCGGTTAGCTTGAGGAATGAATCCACTCGACTATATAAAGCCCGCGGTGACCTCCCGAATTGTGTCAGCTTGTCGCTGAGGCCCCGTGCAGCGTTGTGGTAGATTGGCGTGTCACCGGCGAAACATCATTACGGGAAGCCGGCCAAAGTAAATCCGCGTGCGGACGTTTTCAATAATATCACGTTTGTGCGGTTAGCCAAGCGTTGAGGTCGAAAAGGAGGCTAATTTCGTTCATTCTTGTGTGTGCAGTTGCATGGTTAGTGAACCTTACTTCCGGATCAGACGGTCGGGAGTTCGAATCCCAGCTGTAGATATTAGCGTGTCACTTGCACGCTACCGGAAATAGTGGGATATACTCAGCTGTGATCTGTCATTGTACTAGTGGTATAGAGCCGGGAATGAATGACTGAGACTGAGTGAAAGAATGAATGAATGAATGAATGAATGAATGAATGAATGAATGAATGAATGAATGAATGAATGAATGAATGAATGAATGAATGAATGAATGAATGAATGAATGAATGAATGAATATAGTAAAATCATAGAACTACACATTAGCCTTGTTACAACACTTGTGGAAAACAAACATGATGCATTAATATCCATGTTGTTCTATAATCTTATTGCTTAGTATTGACAATGAATTAATCATGTTGATCAGATGATGCAGATACATGCACAAATAATTTTATTTGAATGTGTGAATTTGTGAGTTACATTTGTCATATTTTGTTGCTGATGATAACAATCATGATGAATGTATTGTTGTCAAGGTACATGTATGTCTATCGTTATTCATGAATTTTAATGTTTTAACGTTACAGATGATAACGAGTGTGCGTTGCGTAATGGAGGATGCCAGGACAGCTGTTATAACACCATCGGCAGCTTCTACTGCAGGTGTCGGCCTGGGTACAAGCTGGGAGATGACGGCAAGACGTGCGAAGGTAAGGCTCTCTTCTTATGATTAATATTGTTAGTAGAGCATTCATTGATCAATGACAGTTTTTGAAAGGTATTAAACATGTACCTCCAATTTTTCAATGTCCACCGTATGCTTTGATCACAGAGTGACCTAGTCTCGCAAGAAAACAAGACTAGGTCATTCTTTCTGCATGTACGTAAAAAGAAGAGATTGATAATATTTATCATGATACAATCACAATAGATAATGAAATTTGAGTGTTGTCCATATTGAAATCTGCTATTTTATCACCTAGCATATTGTGTAGAAGAACCCAACACACTTGAAGGGAAAAGAGTAGGGTTGACCCAATGTGATTGGCTAAATATAGCAGCACCAAAAAAACTTTTACCGTCAGTTGAGAAAAGCAAAAGAAGAGATCGTGTATCAATAAAAAATGGAATGGTCCCAATTTCTACCAGTCAAATGACATTGTGATCCAATATACTATTTAGCAGTTTGTTGCCACCTAAAATAAGTTTACTTTAGGATTATCGAAAGGTAAATTCTATACAATTATGTTAGTTTTGTCAAGTTTTAGTTATTTGGCTTCCATAAAAGTCATGAATCCTTAAACGAACTGGTTTGTTTGACCTTTGCCTGCCGAGGGCACGACTTGTGAAAGTCATTCCGCATCTTAAGGACCCCATAATCACTCCTAAGGAAACACTAGACAGACCGCAGCGGGCGTGTGTATACACTATAAAAGATAAGACCGGCCACGGAGGGGTCAAGTGCCCTAAGAAGCTCGTATCACACCCAGAGAGCCATCTGAACTCTCAAAGTTTACAAAACTTCAGCTTCATCAGTGTAAAGGCTGAAAACCAGACTGTGATTGAGATATTCTGTTTGTTATGTACAAGAAATCTGACAACCTGTTTTACTGAGATGCATCTTTATGGAAATTAATGTTTAGGGTCTACATGCATGCTATCAAACCACAAGTTTGACACCAAAGGGTTATTTTAGCAAGTACAAAGTTAAAGGCCCTTTTGTTAGATCTGCCTTAAGTCATTAAGTGTGTGATCGAGGAAGTATCATACCTGTAAATTGACATTAACAGAAGCCATGAATGTACAACCGCTTTTTTCATGCACAGTACAGTACTGTACTTGATTTTCTTTGTACACTTGTTTACTTGCAGTCACTCTTCAAACTCAAAGCTTTGGCCATACTTCCACCCTTCGTGAATTAAGACATTCTGGACAATGGGTTTAGAAAACCACAGTCTATAGCTTTGCTGTAGAACTAAAGGATAGAATTTAGCCATAAGGGTGGCTAGAGTTAGCAGTGTAGGCTGCTTTGGTAGGTCACCTGTGTTTTCATAGGCAAAAACAAGTCCTACTTTTTGTACCATCGGGTCAACAGGCTGTCTTTATCAGATATGACCTCACTGCCAGCCAAATATTGCAGGGGGACGAAACTAAATATCGAAAACCTCGCAGCTAAACATGTGTGACTAACAGAATGTACTGAACTGTGACTGTAGTGTGTGAGAGTGTTTTCTTTAGATCGGTATCCTCACATGTAATGAAAGTTGTTGAAAACATGCTGGATGGATGTAATGCATGTTGACAATACCATCACAGCGGCTAGAACTGATTATATACTTATGTCCAACACATCCTGACAAAAAAGGACAACATGCCAGTCTTTGCACAAACTTTGTGAATTCTGCCAAGGTGGCATATTTTACTATCTTATTACATTTTGTATGAGCAGCCTTGGATCTAGACCTGTTTTGAAATTTTGTCTCTTCTTCCTTGTTCAATATCCTGCAAACTACATGTATCTAGTAATTAACTAAACAGCTAACTTACTGTAGTGAAAAGATGATCTCATCCACTGCTTAGCTCATGGTCCCTCAAAAAAAAAGAACAGCAAAAAAAGAATCAGAGCTACCGAAACAGTGAATCTGTACGTACATTTTAAGATATCACCTATCTAAAGAAACAAACAAACATGTAAAGAAATGCACATGAAAACAGAATTTCCTCGCTAAGTCCTCGCAAAAGTAGCAACTTGTAAGGCTCCTATCTATCTCTGTCTGACCAAGTGGGTCCCATTCTAGTGTTGCTCCACAGTAGCCGCCAACATAAACACGGTCCTGTGAGTTTACAAACACAGCCGTGATGGAGGGCCTACCCATTAAGACTTGACCAACACCCCAGAAATGACAACGACCAAACAGATTTGCTCTCGGTAAATAAACAAACACTCTCCCAAACTGGATACAAATTTGAGCTACTTTTGGCAAGTTGTGGTGAGTAGAGGACTGGTGGTGTTGGTTGGTCAGTTGCCCCCTCTAGTGAGATTTTGCAGAATTGCACCTTATGGTACAACTTTTTTTAGTACATTTGCCAACTTGAAAATGCTTTGAGTATAGCACCATTTAGCGAATTTTGAGGGCTTGTGGTGATAAAAGAGAAAACTTAACACTTTATGAAGAAAAACCTTACACAACTGATGTTTTGAAATTAATTTATTTGCTTTCACAAATTTCGCAGTTTCAATCTGATATTATGGAATCATGAAGTTATCAAGGTGGCCTCTTACTTTCATAATACTGAATGTGTTCAAAGCAAGCAAGTTCCATTCTCTGTTACCATTGTGCAGCAGTTATAAAGCAACTGTTTTCTGTATCAACAAATCTGAAGAGCTTTGTATGTCGTCAAACATGTGTCTAAAATGAGCCATTGAATGTCTGTATTTTTACTTGACCCAGCCAATATGAGAAACAGAATAGTAACCATAAAAAAGGTGAAGATAAGAAGAATTTAAAGATCCAAGATTTCTTTGAAAGTTGGAAAAGAGATTTCAAAGGAGATAATTGATTCTTAAAAGAAGAGTTCCAAAAGAAGATAGCTTTTACCTGGACCTTCTTTGAGCCTACTGAAAAACATGATCACTGATGTTTCTTTTGTATATTGGTCTTGTCGTCAGTTGGGTTTAGTGACAACATACCTGGCTTTGTTGGTGTTGACCTGAGGTAAAAGTAAGTTTACGCAGCAGAGGGAAGAATGTGTTTTTGCTGCACGGCTGTGTACGGCCACTTTGTCTCTCACATACCAGGCAGGGAGGTCTGCTTTACACTTCAGATGTAGTCTCAACCAGGCCTGTCTCCAGCTTTACATTTTTGTCTGTCCAACTCATCCTTTTGAAGGGTGCTCAAAAATTTTGGAATTTTTACACTAATTCACATATTTTACATCTGTCATTTGAAGCTTATGGAAAATTTAAGTTTTTCTTTGTAGGTTTGTAGGTGTTGACACAACAAAGGACAAGAACTTGATTGTATGATTAAAAGGTCCTCCTAGCACCTTCTATAGGTACTGCAGAAAACTTCCAATTTTGGTATCTCAGGTTCTGAAGATGATATATTTTAGTGGCACATAGCTTTCGGGATGAGAAATAAGTGGTATGGTTTTGGGCCCTCTAGCAGCTTTCCCTGGAACTGCAGGCCTGTAACTAACAGATTCTTGTGTTTTCCTCTGCAGATGTAGACGAGTGTAAGATCCACAACGGCGGCTGCCAGCACCAGTGTGTGAACAGAGAAGGAGGGTTCTACTGCGAGTGTCCGGAGGGCCAGCGGCTACACTCAGACGGCAGGAGCTGCATAGGTACCTGTACGTCATGCATTTTCTACTTAACCTTCTCCAGTACAGATATGGTATCGTATGGCTACTTTACTAGTATATAGGGAGAAGGTTAACAATCACTGATCGCAGTTTATTAATTAAAATTATATTGGTAAATCTATAGCAAACACACTCAGATGGCAGGAGCTGCATAGGTACCTGTACGTCACACATTCTCTACTTAACCTTCTCCCTGGTTAACCATGTAACCAATACAGATTTGGTACTGTATGGCTTCTTTAGCAGGGAGAAGGTTAACACTTGTTATAAACATTAGAAAGGAAAAATGACTACAGGACTACAGTTACCAATAGTACAGACTTCACAGTATGATTGTATATTTTTGGAAACACCTTGGAGAGGAGCATTTTTGTTGTTGGTAGGAGGACAAGAGTGTTACGTGTTATTTTGGGGGCCAAGGCATCCAACAATACCTCTGTCTCTGGACATTTCACACATTGATCACTGCAAAGGCCATTGTGCTCATTTTCTCTATTTCTGAACACATTACATATTACATTGTACAGTTGCATTACATACATGTAATGGCCATATTTGTCATATACATGCTTGGTAATTAATTTTTCAGTTTTTTATTTGCTATGTTTCATCTGTCTATATTATGATTTTTTTGCACATTTCAATCTTCATGACCAAAAATATGCTTTTTTTCCATACAAGCACATTTCTATCTTTCATATGTCTGTTTTCATTTCATTATGATTTGCCATAACCCTATTTGTTTCCCACCTCTCACTCTCTCCTCTACTTGGGGTCTTGGAATTTGCCCCCCTCCCCCCTTCCCTTAACAGCTCAAGTCAGACTCGCCGTGGAAGTGTTACCGCTGAGGGAAGAAAATGCAACATCTGAGCCAGGTACAAAGTCCTTAAAGAAACTAGGCCAGGAAGACAATTATTAATGTCTTAGATACTAGTGGCTAACATCACTAACTGACACGTACTGTTACACATACATGTACAAGTGCAAATTTCTAAAAAAAATCAACCTTAAGTCACATTTTTGGGAAGAAAATGCAAGACAAAGGTCTTAGATGCTAGTGTCTAATATTGTGTACTGTCAATACTGTCCAAGATGACTACTGGGGGGACTGTTAAAATTTGGTCTATACGGACAGGTGGTCACTGAAGACAGGTCAATGGGAAAAGTTACCAAAAAAGTGTTCACAATTGCAAAGTGGTCCTTACAAATGTATGTACGGGTGGTCACTTGTACAGTTTTGACAGTATAACAGTTACTAACCTTCATGACTGTTGCACAATAAGATTTCAGAACTATGAGTCAGAGTTCTTCTTCTTCTTCTTTGAAGAAGATTCCATAAAACCAAATTAAAGTTTATTTCACAGTGATTGTCACAGATACAATGTAGAACAAGTCACATACATACAAGCATACAGCTGCTCCATTGGGGGCCTGCTCTTAAAATAGCAGACGTGAAAGGAATACTTGACATGTTAGTCTGGTACCCTGGGTGCTTAATTATCTGGTAATTACACAGGTAATTGATTAAACTGGCAGACAAGCAAGCTTTTGTAAAATTAAGGTATCAGTCTCAAAGTATCCTTTCAATGTATACAATATCTATTGTTTATTTCGCAACAGAAGATTTGTATGAACAGTTTTGAAAAGATGGTAGGGTTTGCTGCTGTTCTGGAAAGATGAACAGAATTTGGGATTTCGCATCTTTTGTCTATAACAGCTGTTGTATGACAGTTGCATGACATATCTTCATTGTGTGTGTGTTTAAGCCTAAGAGCACAATCAAGGAGTGTTATTCGCTATACTGGAACAAGTAATTGATTGTACTGGCTCTTCAGAAGCCTTCTAGTGAGCATAGTCTCCATTGTTTGTGTCCCAATAGCACTTTTCTGCATAGCCGCACACTTTGACTAGAGAACTCTGGTGGTCTCCTCAGTTTAAGAGTTATGTCCTGACACATGTCACCAGCGTAGCACACCAGTACTAGTGTGCATAGCCCAGTGGTTAGTAGCCCTGCCTCTGGACCAAGTGGTCGTGAGTTCGAATCCTGAATCAATGCATGCATGCTACTGGAAATGGAAACAGTCCTTAGGATGGACGTTCATGATATGCTGTGGTTCATTGTACTTTTCTGTTGCCTTCCCCTACAAAAAGAGGCTTTTTTGTACTGGGATATCTATTTTTTCACCAGCCAGTTTCTAGTGGCAAATGGACATTGATACTGCCTTCAGCAGCCAATTTGATCCCTGTTGCAGCCACCAAAAGATCTGGTCAGAGATTAGGTACTGTCCATTAAGTCCAGTTGTGTGGCCAACAGAGGAGAGGACATTTTAGGAGGGATTGTTCAGGGTTGGGTAGGCGCAGACAAGCATCGCCGCGGAGTGTGGTGTGAGCAGAGTGGAATGCCAGGTTTATGTTAGCTCTGTGGGATGAGGGGTCTTGAGCACAGTACAAAAATTCTGTACCAAAGATTGGTCTGTATAATAATCATTCTACATGTAGATCCTTTGGAAATCGAAGGTTGTTCAAAGTACAAATAAACACTTTTGTAGGAATAGTCTCATTTTCATCTGTCGGTTGAGATTTGATATATAATAATATAGAAAGAAGGTAAGGAGGTTTAAATGTCAACAAAAAATAAGTTTTAGAATAATGCAAGAAAAGTTATTCTAAAAATAGATGCATCCATCAACATGCGTCAAACAACTCCTTTAATTTGGCGCTTGAAATGAGTGAAAGTCAAACACGCAAATATTAGCATTCTGTCTTCGTGAATGTCCTGTTCATAAATTGTTATGCAAAGAAGCAAGGAAGGGAATTGACATTGCCGTAAGGCTTAGGGAAAAAATGTTGTGTTTCCTGTTTCATGCAGTCCTGAAAAAATTAGGGTCAGTAGTAGTGATATCTATATAATGTAGGGGTCCAACTTATACAATACAGCCTAACAAAGTAGAAACTTGCATGCGAACACTTATATTTTCAATGTCAAATTGAATGTTAAAAAACCAATTATTGTACAACATTTTATCACTCAGGTGTCAGATCATGGAGCTAGAAAAGGTTGATCAGCTTGAAATATGTCCCTTGTCCCCCCCCCCCCAAAAAAAGTCTAGGGTCAGCAGGTTTTTCTAGGTCGGTCAGGAAACACAACATTTTTTTTCCAAGGCCTAACCAGATTTGGAAGAAAAGCAGCCAAATCAGTTGCCTTCCTGTTTCGTGTGAAGTACTGATTGCTCCGTGACCTTATCGCGAAAAACACTCCGCAGGTGTCCCTTAAACGGGAAATTAATCTGACTGGGCCTTCGACAGGCCAAGGCATCCTCTTGACTTACCTGAACCCTTTAAGACGTGCCAGAAAATTAAGACGTTGAAGCTCTGCCAAGGTGTTGAAAGTCTGCCAAAAGGATAGGAAAAAACATGACTTTCTGATGCGTAAACATGACCCTGTGTATGATAGGTCCTAAACTGCGTCACGGATGCCGGTATAATACATCCATTTACCTTGGCATGGGCAAAATGCCATGACTAGGAAGCTAATTGCCTGCATGCCTGAGAATCTATCAAGTTTGAATTTTGACATATTAGAAACTGTCAAAACCTCTATTACTGCATGAGAAGCTGGTGTGTTATGCCGAAGGACAGTTATATCGGCTATACAGATACAGGTACAGAAGCCAGGTTTTTGGTACTGTAAGTCTTAAAACTTTAGCAGTTGTATTATCTTTTAGTTGTCCTCTTCACCGCAAATTCATCGCACTGCAAATATGTCTTCCTTGTATGTCTACCGAACAAGAACTACAGAATTGTTTTAACCGTAACATGGTGAAAACTGCCTTTTCCCTCCTGAACCCCAGTTGAGGATGATGAAACAGCAATTATCCCTTCTACAGTAAAATAAAACCAATGCAAAAGTAAAGGAATTTACAGTACAACTTAGAACAATCACTGTCACTGAATGTTGGCTTCATAATGCAGAGTTAATCTGGTGTTTTGGTCTGGTGCCACAGTGTTTAGCCGCAAATTTGGACAATTTCCATTTCGCTCAATCATGACATTTAACTCTGGAGCCGTTACCGTAAATTTAGGTCAGTCCTGGTTTTGGCAAACCTCAAAAAAGAAGTTCCAAGAAAGGAACAACTGCAAACAACCCACAGTGACTCCTACAAGAAAGAGCACACTAAGCACTTTGGCCAGGCCATGCCAAGTCAATGCCTCAGTCCTCAGACAAGTTTTTGTGTTACTCACCCACAGATGATTACAAAATTTAATGATGATATTTGAAACTCTTTCGTCAAGTGCAATGTTAATGTCAGAGTCAATACTTTTTAAATGCTAAAGATCTAAGTTAAACATTTCTTTCAATGCTCTTCATTGTTGCTTCTCTAGCCCAGCATTAGTTTACAAAGAAACTGCCAAGAACCACAAAAACAGCTTAGCACAGCCTTAGCTTTAGCCGCGTGGTATTTGCAAGAATCTCCTGCCCTTAACATGACAAAGGGGACAGTGTCTATTTCAGGCTCGTTCACTGTATATTTACAGCCACTGGATTCTGTGTTGCACAGTTGTGTGTAGGCCAGGCTTACGGGGCAAACTCAGCTGTTAGCCACCCGAGCCAAGTTCAGTACCAAACCCACCCTTCTGCCAATTGGTTGGAGTTGGCTGGTCTTCCCTGCGCTCGCTGACACGTGGCGAACTCTGCTGTTGTCACTACTGGGACAACGTGAACTCAGGAGTCTCAGCCTGCTGAGGGCACGATTCGGCACCCGCCAATACATCTGGGCTTGCTATTGTCTCCTTCTTAAAACAGCTGGGAGTGATAGTTGCGGGTTTAAGTCGTTTTTTTCGTGGTTTGAACGATGGCGATGTGGAGAGCGGTTGCTCTTCTGGTGCTCCTGGTGTCCTGCGGAAGTGTGGACGGGCGCGGGTACCGTAGAGGCTGCGGGCGATGTCGGGGTTGTGTGCCGTGTACCAACTGGAGGGGTAGG